ACTCCGCTATTAAATGCGCTTCTTTGATAACCATACATATACATTTGTATATATATATATATATATACGTATATATATATATATATATATACATACGTATATATATATATGTGTGTGTGTATATATATATATATGTTCTTGTGCGTATTCTGATCTGTATTCCCAGGCCTTCGGCCAATCAAGCGGCCAGTCAGCCTTTGCACCTGGGAACAGTGCAGCCGCTTTACAGACGATGTGAAGATGAACGCCCACTGCCTCTCCCGTGACGAAAAAGAGTGTTTATATTTATCCATCAGTCAAGAGTTTACGGTCGAATCATGTCGCCTCTCGACGTTTGAAGCAAGGATCTAAGCTTGACTTTGGGACGCAGTGGTAGTTTCTACAATTCCCTTCTGCACCCAGCTTGGCTGACTTCTGAACCCCTCCTCGTTTAGCCTACTTATACGTAACATTTCATACAGCAACCCAAAAAGTTAAAGTCCTAAGCGCTAACCAGAAGAACGCCAAGGTTGGCTCGAAGCTGTGGGAAGAGAAGGCGATGCTGCAGTGTCAGCAATGTGCTTGCTTCAGGCTACGCTACGTGCTTTGGCAGCTGGCAGTGCATGATAGTTTGTGCCAGCTGTCTCACCCAGGGCTGCTGGACTGAGCCTCGCTCCTTTGCTTGGCCAAGTTGGCTCAGCCGCGAGGTACCCGCCTGTGTCTGTCAAACACTAGGACCAATCGCTTGGCTTGCAGCACTCGCTGGCAGCATTGGAATCACGGTAGCCTGTTTTTCGAGCGTTGTGAGTCTATGCAAAGTTGAACTCGCTGCGATTGGCAGACATTCTGGGTCTTCCCCAGGACGTCACGGCTTTGCGCAGAGTCTTCCAGATGTACATGTTAAACAGACCAGCGGCAAGATGTCCATCCGGCCCCACCATGTTTGGTTGGAAGCAATCAGTGTGACTGATTGGGCTAAATCGACCTACAAATCATTTCAGAGTTGCGCTGCCTCCGCCTTCAGCGCTCGGCTCACCTCACGCAAAACCTAGCCTTTTTTTCTGCTCTTCGAGGATGCCGCTTGCCTTCCGCATGTCTTCACTCAGCTCCTCAGCACCAAGCGTCTCTGCAATGGTGTCCACGCAGCGCCGCAGATCGTGCCAGAAGGTGAATGCAAGCTTGAGGTCTTCCACGGGCTGCACACAGCAGGGGAAACGCTTGCCCACGTCAGCTGCAAAACTTTCGGCATCCTTCTGGTATTCCAAGAAGTAACGCACTACGATGCCCATGCAGGCCCGAGGCAGCATGAAGGTTGGCAGCTCTGCTGGAACATGTGGGTATTGGTCTCTGTGCACTGGCGATGCACACATGAAGCCTCTGGGCAACAACTTGACTTTGGCCAAGTCTTTCAGCAGAACGGACGCCAAAGCTCCTTCTACCATCTGTCGTAGAGTTCGCTTGAGGACGCGCACCAGGGCATGGAAGGCTGCCAAGTCAAAATCAACGTCCGAGTCCCACATGATGTTTCTGACTCTCATGGGCACTAAGGACATGACACGGCAAAGGAGCAGCATGCCACAGACCTTGTCCTTCTCGGCTCCGTCCAGCTTGCTGGATGTTGGATATTTTACTTCTGACGGAAAAGGCTTGTCCGGATGCGCCGCTTCAAACGGCTCTCCGTTGAGTTGGCCGTATTTCATGAGCTCCAGTGCCGTCAGGCACGGCTCCGTTAAGTTCCTTGGGGTGTCCTTAAGAACATCACTCAGGACGGTTGCTCCACCATCCTCGGCCGAGATCAAATCCAACTTCTCCAACACGAGGAAGTGCACCAAAGCACTTAAGGAGTGGAGGTGGTCGTCGAAGGACGGAGGTTGCGGCTCCTTGATGCCTTGCATCAGCGGACCATCTTGTTCGAACTCACGCGCATGCCAGTTCAAGCAAAACTTGAAGTCCACTTTGTCCACCTTCTGGCGGCTCATCTCAGCCTTCACCGACTGGTAGGTGATTTTCCATCGAAGCCCCTGCTGGATGTCTGGCTGGATGACCCGAGCATCGGGAGGTAGGTTCGCATCCGTTCCGAGCGCCTGCCGGATGTTGGTGGGCTCCCAATAGGCCTTGCAAAGGATGGACTTGTTCTGGAAGCTTTTGTGCAGGTGCTGGGCGATCAACCCCAAGGAGGTCCTGCGGTAGTCCTGCAAGTCTGTGAGCAGTGATCGGAACTCATTAGTGTCAATGAGTGGCTGCGACTTGTCCGTCCACTCTCCCTTGGCAAGGGCTTGGGGAAGCTTGTGGGAGATGATACCATGCAACATCAGATAGTACAGGCTGGGAGGCAGCTTCTGACCCATGATGGAGGAGAAGTCGTTGGGGACCGATGGAGGCGTACCCTTCGAAGAGGCTCCGAGGGGACGAATGGCATGATCCTGGAGATGAAGCACTGGGGAGTTCTGGACCAGGACTTTGCATATGCAGTAGCCGTCCACGTGGTCGCTCTTCATGTCCTCAGTCGGGAAGGTCTGCATCCAATTGATTAGCGGAGCCTGCCGGATGATGTACACGGCGGCATCGAAGTTGAATCGCTGCCCCTGCTGGGCGACGGAGGCACCAAAGGGACTCAGGTTTAGATAAGGATAGGTGAGGCAGTACTCGGTGCCTGCAAGCATGCACGCATCCACGAACTCATCCCATGAAAGCTGCCACTTCGCCAGCACACTATCCAAGTCCACCCAATCAAAAGACTGTTGGCCGAAGTTCAGGTGGATCACGACCGACTTGACACCGTAAAGAAGCAGGCCGGGCGGCCCGAAGACTGTCTGCACGATGCCTTGCTCTGCAAAGTGTGCGAGCTGAGCACCAGCAAAGTATGGGGCCTGAAGACATTCATAGCCCTTCTGGCGTAAGTGGTGGAAGATGAAGTAGACAAAGTCCCCGTTGATGCGGCTGGTCGAAACTGCAAAGCATTTCTGTGCCGCCGACTTGTCTCCAGAGGCCAGGTAATTCCAGGCCATGTCCATTTGCTGATCCATGCGGCTGACGAACATCGAGTGCTGTGGTCCCGGCGCCACACCTTGGAACACGAAGAGCGGTGTGATGCCCCAGTCTTTGAAGCTCTCTAGCTCCTTATCCACAAACCCGAAGATGCCCGGCGGTATGCCGCCAAGAGCATCAGCAAAGGGATCCTTCAGGGCCTGTATCGATCGAAGCCAGAACACCGCGTCCACACCCACTTGAACATTCTTAAGCTCGTTCAGCTTGCCGCTGTTTACCAGGCCCTGATCGGCGAGGTGTGTCTGGAGATGTCTCACGCGCATTATGCTGGCACCTCCCAACCCGTTCAATGGCTCATGTGCAAAAGGCCCACAAGTGAGCCCAAATGCCTCCAGCAAACACTTTTCGGTTGAGTATGCTCTAGTGCAAGATGCTAGACACGGGCTGTCGAAGTCGAAGTTGCAGACAAGACCAAGAGCGCTGACGGCGGAATTCAAAGCGAAACAGCGAGACATACTTGTACTGATTCATCCGTCGCACGGCCTCTTGCTACTGGGATCAACTGTTTGCTGTCTGCCTGGCGAGAGCATGGGTGGTACTCTTCGTGACTCTGCCCGGCCCTCCGGCCCTCTCAGCCCTTGCGGAACAGCATGCACTGCAGCTTCAACAGCGAAAACCCTCACGTCTGGTCTGAAGCCGAGGCTTGACACCAAAGCCCCCAGAGACTCCAATATCCCTTAATTAAGGAATATACCTTAAATTATAGTAGGATCCCTAATATGATTTTAAGGTATATTCCTTAATGAAGGGGTATTGGAGTCTCTGGGCCCATGGCAAACTAACCGCGGTACTACTTTGCGCCTGTTTCGCCACATTCGCATCCGCGGCTCGATTCGCTCCATCCTTGGCACCACCCTAAACCCTAAACCCTAAACCCTAAACCCTAAACCCTAAACCCTTGTCACCGCCGACTC